AATAATTCCTGGCCTAGTCCCATAAAATGAAAAGTCATTTTAAATGCATCTGTATTGCATTCATCCTTCTGGTACTTAAGTACCAGGACAAGAATCGAATTCTCAAAATTCTACGAAGGTAGCAGAAAGGAAGGAAAGATCTAAATTGCAAGTCCATTAGTCCTATCATGCCCCCAAGACTTAAAACTATGTGTATTATTACTGTACGATGCAGATACTTGTAAAATTTTATTATTTTTTACATGTGATTATCCTGATTTCATAAGTAGTTTCTTCAACCAGACTGTAAACTCAAGATGAACATGTCATCTTCTTATACACCCACCCACGATGCTAAGTAGAGGGCTAGGTACACAAATCTGTTTTGTTGTTGTTCAGTCGTTCAGCTGCGTCTGAATCTTTGTGACCCTATGGACCACAGCACACCAAGCCCTTCTATCTTCCACTATCTCCCAAAGTCTGGACAAATTCACATTTGCCGTTTACATGACACTATCTATCCATCTCATCCTTTGCCCTCCCCTTTTCCTTCTACCTTCAATCTTTCCCAACCTCAGGATCTTTTCTAATGAATCTCATTTTCTCATTCGCAGCCAAAGTATTTGGCATTTAATCAACATTTGTTTAATGAATAATACCTGTATATAACAGGCATTCAGTACATGTGGCTGGTTGCTGTTCATTCAATTCAACTCCTCTGGAAGTAGGGACCTCAGCTCCATAGTGCAATGTGTTTTGTAAATGTGTTATGATAAACCCAAAGGCCTTCCCACAAAGTCATAATATAGAAAGGGCTTAACAAATTGTTGCTGAATGAATGCAAGAATGAACCAAGGAATACTGGCCCTGAATACTATGAATTATTACTGTTAATACTTTCAATGGGTCCAAGACTAAGCTAGGTGCTGTGATGTCTCAGTGTGGGTACTCCTTCTACCCCTACAGATTGCGGCACCTCAAGTACCCCCCTCTCCTGAAGCCTTGCAGCTGTCAGTGTCCTCCTCTCAAGTTACCTTGTCTGGAGCTATTTTATATTTCTTTGTATGTGTTCTCTTTAAATTGATCCTGTGTGCCTTTATGTGCCTCCTTGTCTCCCTCTGGAATCTGAACTCCTCCATATATTGAAGGTATTAGAATTCCCAGGGCTTATATCACAGTGCGTGGCATACAGCAGGCCCTCAGTAGATACTTGTGGACTGACAGATGGATTTAGAAGCATCTGTGGCTAAAATATTTCCTCTCCTGAATCTTCTGATGACGAGCTTTTTCTGAACTTTGAAGAAGCTGTTCCCAAGAAGACAGACACAGTGTTGACCATCAGCCATAAAGCCAAAGGTTTTTCAGCATGGTAGGCCTGCGCTTGAGAACCCTGATACTAATATTTCAGTCTGCTCTGCCCAGCACTATTTAGGGCGTGTGACAGATAGAAAAGCAGAATAAAGTATAGCTGCTGGCCTCAAGTGCTTTATAATCTCATCTAAGTCAAAGGACACAAGCAGTCATGGCATGGGAAACTGCCAACGTAGTTAAGAAAGTGAGACATCAACGTAGTCTTAGTTGGCTTCACGTAAGAGGTGGTGTTTAAATGGGCCTGAAGAAGAGAGAAGCTGCATAAATGAATAACAGCCAGAACTGGAGCTGATATAGTGCTGTAAAGTTTGCAAAGTGCTTTGACTCATTTTGGCTCATTTGAGCCTCAAAACCATCCCAGTAAGAATATGGGGAGGCATTACAGGGATGGCAACGAAAAGCTCACCGGCCTAGGAATCAGGAAAGGTGTGTAGCTGTCACTTGGTCTGTTTTTCTCAGCTAGAAATGAGGGGATTAGAATGGTGGATGTCTAAGGTCCCTTCCAGCTCTTACATTCTATGATTCCTTCCCTTCTTTTGTCTGGGGAGCATGAGGTAAGAGATGACTGTAGAGCCTTGAATCTTTGACTGAAGAGCTGGGATTTGAGGTAATCATTACCTCAAATAATCATTACCTCCACACGAGTGAGAGAGGTCACCTTACTGTGCCCCAAATCTGTCTTGTTTATTCATAGTTGACAAGTAAAATAAGTGCAGCCCAGAGGGGCCAGGTGTGTTGAGTACAAGGTCCCAAAAGCAGGATTCCACCTTAATTCTCAAGGTTTCCCTCCATCTGGCACAGCCTTCCCACTTAGCTCTGCCTATTACACGTCCTATCTACCTTTCAAGGACCAACTAGAATCCACCCCTGCAGCTCACACTCCCTCCTCCGAATTCCTACAGCCCAAACACAGAACCTCATACAGTGTGACTATGAACTCTTATATTTTTCTCTAACTCTATTTATGCGGTTCTCCCTCCCCCATCTCCCCGGAACGCTTGGCACATTGCTGTACCCATGATAAGGCCAGGAGAAAGAGCATTCAGTCTGGGGTCAGGGGCCCTGGGTTACCGCCAGCCCCAATTCTGCGCTTCTGTGCCAGCTGTTCGTGACCTTCAGAAATCACGTCTGTTGGTCCCTTTCCTCTCTACAAAAGAGTGGCAATACCTGCTCACTAACCTAAAGGGGGATATAGATATGAGCTCATCATTACTAATTTAACTGCTTTCATACCTCTGACTGCATTTGATCCTAAGGTTTCTTTATAGTTAAGATTCTTCTCCTGACCTCAAAACACAATATTTTTGACCTCTCTGAGCCTTACTTTTCTCACTGGTAAAAGAGAAATAATAACCTTTGCAATGCCAGCCTCCCAAGAGAGCTTGTGACAAGCAGCAAGGTCTAGAACAACAGAGAGCTGCTATTGTTTGAATGGCATGGGGGCCCCTGGGAGGGTCCTCCTCCCTTTTACTAGACTCTAGTAACTACAGGCTTTCAAGAGGAAGCTCATGAAGACCTGCTGGGCCGTGTGACTGCAGAAGGGGTCCTTAGCCAGGTAAAGAGTGTACCAGAGAGCCTCTGGAGTCCCTTTCACTCTGAGATCCTGTGGTTTTCTACATTTAATTAACTGTTATCTTGGTCCCACACAAATACAAGCTCAAATTTTCAATCTTTACCCTCTCCTATTTACAATAAAGTCCGTTACTTATAAACACCACAAACTGGGCTCTTTGCTGTTCTTCTTCAAAGCATCCAGGGCTCTTTCAGTGAGAAGCCCTAAATTTGTGACCAGCTCTGCCAGCAACAGGCTGTATGACCTTAGGCAAGTTACTTGTCCCCTAACAGCCTCAGTTGGCAACATCTCTAAAGTAAGGCAGCTGGGCTAGCTAGTGTCTAGAGCCCTACCAGTTCTGACATTCTGGAATTCTTTTGTATCTAGGTGAGGGGTGGTCCTGGATGGCACCTACAGAAAGCCACAACACATGATGAGTACACAAGAGAGGGACAAAACAAGGACTAGAGCACCAGAAGGTCAAGGAAGGGAGTGGGAAGGCTTTCTGGAGGAAGGAGTGGTATACTACAGTAGCAGCTGTGGCAACAGAGGAAGGGGCCAGTTTGATCACAGGGATGCGATCAATAAAATTTAACTGTAGACGGGACGTGAAAGAGAGGAAGGAGTCAAAGACAGTTCCAAAGTTTCGACATGGGAAACCAGATAAAATGGTGGTTTGAGAGAGAGAGAACAGTAAAGTCCGAATTGAGGAGCAGCTTTAAAGGAAAAGGTAAGAAGTTTGGTTTGGGACGTGCTGAATTTGAGGGCCTGGTGGAACATTCGGGTAGAGGTATCTTTCCTGGGGGCAGATGAATATGCAGTTTAGGGGCTCAGACAGATTCCAGACTAAAGACAGATCTGAGAGGGATTAACATTGTCAGGAGACAAAGAACAGAGTACAGATAAGAGTGCCTAAGGCAGACCTTCAGGAAACATGGACATTAACTGACTGGGAGGAGAACAGGAGCCATCAATGGATGGAAGAAGTAGCCAATGAAGAGGCAGGGGGAAAACTTGATGAATGTGATGTTTCTGAAGTGAAGATCAGAAAGGGGTCAACTAGTTGCAAAAGCTGAAATGAGACTGAGGACATGGAATGAAAAAAGGGCCCCCTGCATTTGATGGGTTTATGTCCTGGAGTTAAGATGGGGAAGAAACTGAGAGAGAGAGAGGCCAAATAATTCAGGTGAAGATAGTCACAGAAATACTTGGTTAGCTGGTGATAAGTGTTTAATTCCTGGCTCTTCTGAGGCTCCTGCTTCACACTAGCACTCAGCACAGTGCCTGGCACACGGTAGGTGCTTAATAAATGTTTAGTGGCTCACTGACTGACACCTACAGTATAAAGACTTGAGGGTCACAAGACCTGGGGTTCTGCTGCCCCTTGTTGTGAGACGTTTGGATTCAATCAAAGGGCTGCACCTGAGGACCTAGAGGGCCACACCTGTGGCTTCGAGGTCGCAGGTTCCCCACCCCGACCCAGGCTAAAGTCCTGGGTAAAAGCCCTGCCTTTGTCAACCACCAGCTGTGTGGCCTCCCGCAAAGTCACTTCCCTTCTCGGAGACAATTTCTACTTCTACAAAATGAGGGAGTTGGGCTGCATGACCTTTAAGGTGCCCTCCAGCCCCAAATACTTTTGAGCCTTGGACTAAGGTTTGAGTCCTGTCTTTGCTGTTGCCTGTGTGACCTTGGGCAACTAATTTTCCCTCTCCGAGTCTCAGTTTCCTACTCTGTAAAATGAGGTCCTGCTCCGGCGCTAAATCTTATGAGCCCTGAACTGGGTTCAATTGAGGCTCTGCTACTGCGTGGGATACCCTGGGCAAGTCACGCCCCTCCACCCTGGAGCCTCAGTTTCTCTGTAAAATGAAGGAATAGAGAATCTCTAAGGGCTCCTCCAGCTCCGGATCCTATGAGCCCCGGCCAGGGTTCAAGCGCGGGCTCTGCTCCCCGCTGTGTGACCCCGGACTGGTCCCTTGCCCTCTTTATGCCCTGGGATGTTGCGGAGGCGGTCATCTTAGGCCCCAGTGCCCGGGCCGCTTCGGACGGCGCCAGGCACACAGCGGGCGCTTAATAAATGCTCACAGACAGGCCGACTCACCCGCTTCGCCTTCTCCCAGAGCTGGTTCAGCTTCTCCATCCGGAACTCGGTCCCGGGCTCGCGTTTCGGGGGAGCCCCGGGCTCATTCTTCTCCCTCGAGTACTTGCCCCCGTGCGCCCAGCTCCTCGAGGGCGCCCACAGCAAGCCCAGCCCCAGGACCAGCAGCAGCCTCAGGGGCAACTTCCCACCCAAGGCCGGTCCCCTGCACCTCCGCGCCGCCGCCATCTTCCTTCCCCCCAAGTCCACGCTCCGCTCCAGGAACCGCCCAGGCATGACCGCGGGGCGCCCGTGCGCGCGAAGCCCTCTGGGACTGGTAGTCCAATTAACGTCACCAAGAGAAAGGAAGGCCACCTGGGAACTACAGAACCCAAGATGCCGAGCGGAATAGCGTCCTCCTCTCCCTCGAGCGTGGTTGGTTGCCTAGGCGACTGAAGCATCTGCTGGCGAGGGGCGGGACACCAAGGCTGCAGTAGCTATGGTAACCACTGTGGGGGTGGAGCTACAAATAGGTGCTTGACCATTCATTGTCTGAAGAAGTTTGTGGTTATTTTTTGTTGTTTTATATGAGAATCTGTGGATGAACACGCCTCCATCCCATTCTTCAGAGCTCTCACTTCATATTACTGGTAAAAGTGACCTGTAGGGGGCATATTGATCATGCCCTTCTGTGTGGGCAGAAGGGAAATTTAAAAACTTCTTATGTCTTTAGTTCTAAAGTTCTCAAAGTACTTTCCTCTCAATAATTTTGTGAGGTTGCAATAATATGAGTAGCTGTCCTTTAACGAAGGGCAGTCCCCCTTGTTCCTTACCTAAGCTTATGTGCAAGTTTATGCATTGAGCAGGAAAGGAGATGGACCTGGTCCTATGTGACCTTGGGCAAGTACTTTTCCCTCTCCGAGCCTCAGTTTCTTTCTCAGTAAAATGAAGGACTACAGAGAATCTCTGAGGGATCCTTCAGAGCCCTGGCCAGGGTTCAAGTGCGGGTCGGAGGAAGGGATGTCACATGGTCAGTATCCTTGAGATACTAAAAAAAACAGGAAAGGAGTCCTCCATTATGTTGAGTGCGTACTTTATGGAGAATTTATAAATGGCAAAATGAGAGGCAATTAGAGGCCATGCGTGTATTGTAATCTATAATGGACAATAGATTCACCAAAGGCTATTGGTTTACCTGTTTTCATCTGTACAGATATTATCTCATTTGATCCTCATATAAGTCTATGAGGTATAGTTACCATCAGCCTTGTTTTACAGGTGAGGCAACTGTGACAATAAGAAGTGGAACTGATGAGGTTTGGGGTAGAGGTCAGGGGTGCTGGGATCCCTAGAATGACAAGGCATGATTGCCTGGAAGGAATTCACACACTCAAGCCATCTTTCAGTCAAGAGGCAGTTTATTTAAATGCCACTAGGAGCAGGCGAAGTTCCTTTTTGAGGAACTTGTACCCTAATGGAAGTGAATCTAGAACTTATATAGAAAAGGGGTGGGGAAATCCAATGCCAGGGATGCTAATTAGGTAATCTAAGGGTCCAGGTGTCTTTGGCAGCTATGGATGGGAAAGTGTAGGGAGTATACCAGACATTGAGGGAATTGTCAGAGGCATGGACCTTGGGGAATCTGGTGGGAGGAAGAGGTATTGGGCCAGCCAGGGACAAAAATCCTTTGGCCAGATACCCCTCTGTCTGTTCTGATAAGGGAATTACAGAGTTAGGCCTGCAGCAAGGGAAAATTTTCTCACTGGGAAGGTGGGGCTGGGCTGTATTACTTTCAGAGACATGATTTTAGGGCTTTTTGAAGTCCAGGTCCCACCACCCCATCAAAATGACTGTTACAAATAGTAAGACATAAAAAACACATCCATTAATATCACTACTGATCTCATCAAAAAGTCATGAAGTACTGGGAAGCAGTTAAGCTCACAGTGGTGATTATAAGTTTTCTAAAATTCCAATTTTCACTTGAAAAATCAAATTTTATAATTGGCATTTGTTTTCCTTGAAGTAACAGGCTTACTTCTTTCATTTCTAAGAAAATGTCTGCCAGATACTTGTCTGAATATCCACAGGTTGTCCGTTGTTCTTTCAAGTTTTCCTTGAGATAATCATCATATTATAGTATGTAGTGGAAGTGGTTTATGGGTACTTCTGATTTTGTCACAAATATTAAAAAGATAGGTTCTCAAGGTTGAAATTTAATAAAGGTAATATTTTTTAGAATTGCTTCATCAAGGAAATTCTTAAGTTTAAACTAGAATTTTAAAATTTATTTGCTTTTTTCTTCCTTTTTCTTCTCTCTTTCTCCTTCCTTCCTTCCCTCCTTCCTTCCTTCCCTCCCTCCTTCCCTCCCTCCTTCCCTCTTTCCCTCCTTCCCTCCTTCCTTCCTTCCCTCCTTCCCTCCTTCCTTCCTTCCCTCCCTCCCTCCCTCCTTCCCTCTTTCCCTCCTTCCCTCCTTCCCTCCTTCCCTCCTTCCCTCCTTCCCTCCCTCCCTCCCTCCCTCCCTCCCTCCTTCCCTCCCTCCTTCCCTCCCTCCTTCCCTCCCTCCTTCCCTCCTTCCCTCCTTCCTCTCCTCCCCCTCCCTCCCTCCTTCCCTCCTTCCCTCCTTCCCTCCTTCCCTCCTTCCCTCCTCCTTCCCTCCCTCCTCCCTCCTTCCCTCCTTCCCTCCCTCCCTCCCCCTCCTTCCCTCCTTCCCTCCTTCCCTCCTTCCCTCCTTCCTCCTTCCCTCCCTCCTTCCTTCCCCCCTCCTTCCCTCCTTCCCTCCTTCCCCCCTCCCTCCCTCCCTCCCTCCCTCCCTCCTTCCCTCCTTCCCTCCTCCTCTTCCTTCCTTCCTTCCTTCCTTCCTTTCTTCCTTCCTTCCTTCCTTCCTTCCCTCTTTCCTTCCTTCCCTCCTTCCCTCCTTCCCTCCTTCCCTCCTTCCCTCCTCCCTCCCTTCCTTCCTTCCTTCCTTCCTTCCTTCCTTCCTTCCTTCCTTCCTCCCTTCCTTCCTTCCTTCCCTCCCTCCCTCCTTCCCTCTTTCCTTTGTTCCTTCCTTCCATCATTCCTTCTTTCCTTCCTTCCTTCCTTCCTTCCTTCCTTCCTTCCATCTTTCCTTCCTTCCTTCCTTCCTTCCTTCCTTCCTTCCTTCCTTCCTTCCTTCCTTCCTTCCTTCCTTCCTTCCTTCCTTCCTTCCTTCCTTCCTTCCTTCCTTCCCTTTGTGGCGGTGAAGAATATGATGACTACTGGTACAGTTTAGTGTTACTGCCGTGATTCATGCTAAGGTGCCAGCAGTTTGAACCACCATGCCTTTTGTACCGTCAGTGTTAACAGGGTTATTTCAGACAAATCAGAAGATTCAAAAGTTATCCAATACTTTGAATATTTCAGCACCACTTGTGTTTGTTACCAGACATTTACATAAAAATTCTTCTTTGATGATGAGTTAGTGCTGATACCTGAGGAATACAAGCTAAACAAGTCTAGCCACACCTTCAGATCCATCCATTTGTAAAACAAAAATACAGTTATTCCGCAGATGATATATTAACTATGCTTTGTGTTTGCAGCTAAATCTTTCATTTAAGATCACATAACCTTTAAAAAACTTCACTTTTATGTTCATGTGAACAAGAATGAAAAAGGCAAATAATGTTTTAGTATTATTAGGAAAATAAGTTTGGCTTTGCAGACCCACTGAAAGGGTCTCCCTGGGTGTCCTCAGACTATAAGAACTGCTATTCTAGGCTGTCAAGATTGTTTTGAGTCCTAATTTTATTATCTAATTTGTTAGCTATCCCTCTCAACTTTTTGCCATCTGAAGATTTAATAATGGTGTCAACTGTGTCTTTATCTGAATTACTAATCAAAATGTTAAAAGTACCTCACTAGAGTCCTGTTTCCACATTGACCTTGAACCATTAATGACTACCCTTTGGGTGTGACGATTCCACCAGTTCTGAAGGTATCTATTGCAATCTGAGCCTTATCTTTCAGTCTTATATACAAGACTAGCACGGGAGATTTTGTCACATGCTTTACTGAAACCTAGGTAAACCATATGTATAGCATTACCTTGATCTAGTAATCTAGTTAACCTGTCAGAAGAGGAAATGAAGTTAGTCTAGCATAATCTGTTTTTGATGAAGCCACGATGGTTCTGTGTATATGTTCACTAACCATCTTTTAAGTGAATAAATTCTATAGTTTTCCCCCCCAGGATTTGAAGTCAAATTCCCTGGTGTATAATTTGCAGGACCTGGGGAAATTTTTTTAGGTTAGAGATGACCTGAGCATGGTTTAATCTGAGTCGAAGCAACCATTGAAAAGGGAAATGTTTAAGATATGAGAGAGAGAGGAAGAAAGAGAGAGAGAGAGAGAGAGAGAGAGAGAGAGAGAGAGAGAGAGAGAGAGAGAGAGAGAGAGAGAGAGAGAAAAGAGAGATGACTGATAGAACAAGTGAAGAGAGGAGACAGGAAGAGATGGGATAAAGGGCATAAATAGTATTATTTAGCTTTAGTTAAGGAGGAAAGTTACCTCTTCATTTAAAACTGGAGAATAAGGTAAGAAGATGGATTTTTAGGTGTGAAGATGAAGGGACGCACTGCTATATGGCTTCATTCAACTCAAGAAAGAGGCAAGGTTATCTATTGGGAGCTAGGGAGGAGGGGTTGGAGTTGGAGGCTTAGAGGAGATTTGGAACAGACATTGTAGGGAATGTGGGAGAATAAATAAGAGATGAGTAAAAGAAGAATTGTTATGTAGCAACAAGGACCTAAGTGAATTTAGGTAGCATAATTTTTTTTATTGGATACAGTCATCATATTTTCAGGGTTTCCTCCAGCAACATTCTGTAGCTCGGGAGTTGGTAGAGAGGTTTGGAAGATAAATGCTAGGAATTACTGAGAGTTGAGAGTTATCTGGTTTGAACACAAGAGACACCACAGAGGCAAAGGATCCATGGGTGGAGAAGAGGGAATTATGAATGTTCAAAGTTTTAAACACAAGCAATCAAACACTAGTGATGGATGGGCATGGGTTTTTTGAATATGGTGCTTTCCTGGCCTGTGAGTTCATATTACATAAGTATTCATTGAAGCAAAGCAATCAGACATTGTTAAAGCTAGAAAAGACCTTAGCTACCTGGCCTAGTTGAGGTCAAGATATTTCCCTAAGGTTCTGCCACCATGAATTAGTTATAGAGTTGGGACCAGCCCCCAGGTGTCCTGATTCTGAGGGTACTGATCATTCATTCCACTATACGTGGTAGTTGCTTCTGCTTTTTATAAAGCCAATTGTAACATGGAAGACTAACTTGG